AGGTATCTACCATGGGTATTTTTGTAATCTGGTCAGTTAATAAAATAAACAGCCACTGTTTTCAAATTGAGATGTGTTGTCGTCTTGGTCACTTTCCTGTCAGCCTGCCCCGTAACTGTTATGGCAGATTTGAGTGTGGGCTAAAATTCAGCCAAGTCAACAGCTGTTGACTGCAAAAGTAGGGTTCAGTTGTATCTTAGAAAAACATTCCTTGCGTTTATTAAAGACTTTCCTGTACAAAAGAGAAATCATTTTTCACTTTTGAATTGTGCCTTTGAGGTAGCCCAAATGGGTGTCTTCCAAGAAAGCCTGTTTCACAGGCAGCCTTTGTGCATGCCTTATGGGTCAGGTAGTTAAAAGCAGTTTACAAATAAAAATTCTGTTGCTGAAATTCTATTTTCTCAGGTTTTGGCTTGCCTATGAAATATCACATAAAGGTGTTGTCTGTTTGCATTCCATTTTTATGTTCTTTTTGTTGTATCATGTCCTTATTAGGTAAGTTTTAATAATTCCTTTATATATGGTGTATCTTATGAAGGAAGGAATAAAATTTCTACCCGTTGATGCAAGTTATTTTGGAGCACCCCAGCACTCCTAATGAAATTAGTGAGCAAAAACCTTAAATAGAAAGTTTGGCTGTTTTATAAGGAACCGTCCTGTATGTCTTAGGTATCATCTCGCCTAGACTAGTGCACTGAAAGTTTTAAGTGTAGGGTGTAACATGAAGTACATTTAATGAAAGTAAAAATATTTGTAGTCCTCACTGATGGTGCCATGGGTATGACGTGTATGAAACAGATGCCCTGTTTAATTCTTTCGATGCTACTGAACCAGAATCCATACTTTTTAGTATTTGGAAGTCGCTAGACAAATATATTTAAGAATTTCTTTTCAGTTTTTGGTCTCGGAAGCTATTTCTCTGGATTAGTGAGTTTAGGGTCAGTGAATTCTGGAGAGAAATTTGTGTCCTTTAGTTTATAAAATCAGGGTACCACTGTTTTGCAAGAAATTTAGTGTGTTAGTAAACAATTGGATCAGTGTACAAAAAATTGTACATTTATCTCTAGGTAGAGCCTGAGTATAAATTTTGAAATTAGCTATCTTGTTTAACTGCTTCAGGAGGTAGTGTCCAGCCCCCACCTTCGCTCATCCAGTATTCTGAAAAGTAGAAGTGGCTCCAAAGAAAGAAAAGCAAGCCATTGCAACAAAGTTCAAGTGGCACATTGCTAACTACCTAGGCATGGGTGGGTGGGGGAAACTAAATGTAGGAATGGAGATAGTGATAAATAGAAGTGGTACTCTATATATGTGAGGTGGCGGCATTTAACAAAGCTTTTTAAAAAAAAATTTTTGAAAACAGTTTTAGGTTCATAGCAAAATAGAGGGGAAACTACAGTAGCCCCTCGTTATCCACGGGGGGTATGTTCTAAGACCTTTGGTGGGTGCCTGAAGCTGTGGATAGTACCAAACACTACAGACTGTTTTTTCCTGTATATACATATTTAAGTTAGGCACAGAGATTATCAGTAATTATAGCAATATAGTGTGATAAGTTATGTGAATGTAGCATTGAAAATAAGGGTTACTTGAACACAAGCACTGGTACTTGACAATAATTGAAGACGATAATTGACTATGGAGCGGGGAGTATATGCAGCATGGAGGCCCTGGACCAAAGGGATTGTCATTTCCCAGGCAGGGCGTGGGAGTCCTCACGTTACTCAGAATGCTGTGCAATTGAAAACTTAGGAATGTTTTTCTGGAATTTTCATAAAATATTTTTGGATTGTGGTTGATGCGGGTAACTGAAATTGAGGAAAACAAAACTGTGGATAAGGGGGTTGCACCACACAAGACTTCCCATATACCCGTACCCCCAAACACCCATTACCGATAGTGATAGGTTAGGATCCACGAACACTGACATTTCACCCAAACTAGCACAGCTTTTGAGGCTGGTGAGGGGTAGGAAATTCTGCCGGTATTTCTAGCATAAAGAAATGATAGTATATTGGCTGTATCTATCCTGTGCACAGATCTTCCTGTTTTCAGTCCTGGAAATTCAACTGTGTCCCTATACACTAAGTGGGGCTAGAGAACCAGAGGATGGTGACATGTCAGAGTTTGGGAGTGGGAAGGTGCTGCAGACATTCGGATTGCTGTAGAGAAATCCAAGGCACTTGCTTCAGAATTAAGTAACCTAGGGAGTTTGCAGAGTGGGACTAAATAGAAAACATGCTTTCAGGTGACAAGTTCCGCTGTCCGTTTCCTGGTGACTAAAGTGGGATAGCCTGCCTTCACCCAGGATTGTAAACACTAAATGGGCATGAAAATGATTTTGTGAACTGAAAACCTATTTCAATGCAGGTTAATACCGAATTTTACTCAGAAAGCTCACCTCTTAAAAGTTCCGTCTATAAGGGACAATCTACCAGAATACCAACCAACCTTTCTGCAAGTCGGGGCCACTCACTTGTACAGTCACCTCACATGGACATTTCCATTCGTACCCTTCCAGCTTCCTCAGTCTTCCCTTAGCTGTCTGTCTTCGTAAAGCGACTTGTTGCACTTAACGGCTTTCAGTGATGTTATTTCGTCAACGTTTGAAGATTTCTGTTAAGCTGGATCAAGAGTGCCGGCTCGGGAGCCAAATGGCTTGGGTTCATGTCCAGCTTCCATCTGGTAGCTTAAATGACTTACGTTTTCCTTATCAGGGAACTGGGGAAAACACTCATTCCTGATTTCATAGGATTTTAATGAGGATTTAATGTGTCATGTAGAATGCGTAGAGCAGTGCCTGGCTCAGTGCTAAGGAAGCACTTGACTAGTAGTGTAACTTAGCGGGAGCATGACAAATGGAAAACCTGTTTTCATGTGTTAATGGGAAGACGGAACAAAGACTGAGAAATGCTGCAGGGCTGGCTAAGCCGATGCGCTCTTGTGGAAGCTGGGCAGCATTCGGACCCTGCTGTCTTCCTTTAGATGTGGTACCAAACCAGCCCAAACATTGCGCTCACACGTGTTTCCCTTCTCTTGGATAGTAGGCTTTCCAAGGCCGCCCTTTTATCACCCCAAAACCCTGACATGTAACACACAGCCGTACCTTGTTCTATTGAGCTTCGCTTGACTGTGCTTCACAGATGTTACTTTTTTTTACAAATCGAAGGCAAGACCCTTCACCAGCAAAAAGGCTAGGACTTGCTTTATGGTGACACTCACTTGATTGCAGTGGTCTGGAACCGATCCTGGAATATCAAGGTATGCCTATGGCAGGTGCTAGGTATGTTGCCCATTGCTGTAATAAGTCCCAACAAACTTAAGTGACTTAAAACACATTTATTGTAACAGTTTTGGAGGTCAGAAGCCCAAAATCGGCTTCCCTGGGGTAAATCAAGGTGTCAGCAGGCCTGCCAGCCTTCCGAAGGTTCTGGGGGAGAATCTGTTTCCTTGCTTTTTCCAGTTTCTAGAAGCGGCTTACATTCTTGTCTTGTCCCTTCATCTTCAAAAGGCAATCTCTGCTTGCATCTTCCTGTCATCTCCGCAGTGACGCTGCCGCCTCCCTCTTCCAGGGACCCTTGTGATGACACTGGGCCAGGATAACCTCCCCATCGCCAATGCCTTGCGTACATCTGCAAAGTCCTTTACGTAAGGCAGCATATTCACAGGTCCAGGAGTTAGGACGGAAATATCTGGGAGAGTCATTCTTTGATCTTTTAACTTGTGGCTCCCAGCTGTATTTTTTTCTTGTTCCTCAAAAATGACAAGCATCTTATTCATGTAGGTTCTTGGTGCTTGTGATCTTGTGTCTGGGACTCTCAGCCCTCAGGTCTGACATGGCTTTTTCATTCTGGAAAAGGAGGTCTTCTCAGACACATCTCATCACATAACCTTTTTTCTTTCACAGCATCTGTTACTATCTGAAATGCTTTTTCCGTTTACTTGTCTGTTGCTTTGGGTTGTCGGAAAAGTCATGACGTATTTTTTTCTGTTTTTCGTTGCAAAAAGGCGTTTATGACTGACTTTTCCGACAACCCAATAGTATATGTGCTCAAACCCCTGTAAGGTTTGAGTCTTTTTGCCTTTCATATTCTAGCACTTAGAACAGTGCCTGGTGCATTGCATGCCCTTTGCTTCTTTGAATCCAGCCTCTTAAAGGGCACTAGCCATTTAAAATTTTATATCTCCAGTTGCTGGCACATTGTAGTCCTTGAGCGTTTGGATGGTAAATGATGATAGGAATGGGGGCTGGAATACGGGTTTATGGATGGAGATATATATATAGTAAAATTCCCCCCCCCCCTTGACTCTGGAGGAGTCAGAAAAACTTCTGTTACGTAGGGATAATAGTACTTGAAAATAGACTAGTGTGTTAGGGAAATATGGGAGATGGTTCCTGCTGTGAGGGTTGGAGAGTTTCACAAAGGAGGTAGAATTTGGACACCTTGTATCCAAACGGCAGAAGCCCAGGGTAGAGTTGGGAAAACTGTCAGTAGGGGGTGTGATGGCCTAGAGGATGTGATAGCAAGACTCAGAAGCGGACCTTAGCAAACGATGGTGCATTGAGTGTTGTGCACACTGAATCCACATACTCCTAGGTCAGTGGTTCTCCACGTTGCGTGCAGCCCCAGACTTTTCCCTTTTCAGTTCTCCGTGTGATTTTAATGTTCAGCCCCTTCATTTAGGTAAGTGTACCACTATCCCTAATTTTTAGATGAGATGACTTTCCTTCCCCAGGATTTGCACAACTCAGTCCGTGGTTGGGCTAGTTCGGTCATCACCAAAGGAGCTAGGTAGGAAAGGTTAGTATCAAGATTAATGAAAACAGAAAAGTGGTGAACTTGAGAGCAGCTTCAGGAATTTTGTGGGATCTGAAACCACATTACCAGGGCTAAACTTGCAGCCCTACTGTGGGGGTCAAGGAATGAAGGAAGAGGGTTTTGAATATAATTGCGCAAGAGTACGGGTGCTAAGGTACTACTGTGCAAGTCAGCGTGCTAGGCGTCCCAGCTAGGGAGGGGACACACCTAACCTTTCACCGGAGACCCTAGACAGGCGGCCTACGACATGGAACCCCTTTGGACACGAGGAGGGAATCGGGGATGACTCACCTGAGACTGGGCTAGTCAGGTATTGCTGGGCTATTTGAAAGGTCCGGACTCCGGTACTCTGGAGACGCTGGTTAGTTTGAACCTTAAAAATGCAACCCAGAGAACTGCACATCGCCAGCCTTGTCCAACTACCCGCTCCTCACCCTGTAACCTTGCCTGTCTCGCTCGCTGACCCTGTGTCACCACGGACTCCTCCTGCTCGCTGGCCTTGCCGTGACCCCGAAGGCGGCGGCACCGGGAGCTGTTGCTGAGTTACTCCTGCAGTGCCGGGTATCCTAGCCGCTCAAGCACCAGCCTGGCTCGGTCCCCTAACCGTCGACCCTTTCCTGGAGCTACGGCTGCCCGGACCGCGCGGAAGGCAGCCGGAA